GTTCTGAGAGGGAAAGTTTTACCATTGGTGACTTATTTTAGAAGACAGCAAAAGCTTCAAATTGGTAAGCTCCTACTACCTTAAGAACATAAAAGAAAGATAGGAACCACAGGAAAAGTCACTGAAGTAAATAAAAGATTAAAAACTGCAATGAAGAGAAGAAGAGATATTTTATGAAGGAGTGGAATGAAATGGAACAATGTTATATACTTGCCAGATATCATGATAATAAGAAGGGCATTTTACACACAATTTTTCTCACATAATTTTATCATTTTGGTAAGGCGAACCAATTCCTCAAACATCCTTACTATATCTACCTCATTCAATATGAAACAGGTGATTTGGTCACTCTATTCTTATTCAAACTTCCCCCAAAGGAAATAAAGTGCAGAGCGAAAGGAGAAGACAGCGTGACACAGATCTCTAACCTCCATATATGCACGCACTGGCATATGAGACTCCCCAAAAATATATTACACCCTCCCCCACAGGATTGTCTGATATCCACTGGATTTCCAAGACGATCTTCTAACTAAACATCTACCATTGGAGAGAACTCATCAGGAGCAGATCTGTTAGATATTCTGTGAGGTGTTTTCTAAGAAAGCTTCTGGGAGACTCATCTGCTTGCAGAGTGACAAGAGACATTAGGAGCAAATGAGATGTGGAGTGACGCAGGCACGCACAGGAACCTAAATACAAAAAACAGAAAACCAAATACAAAGAAATTTGTAAGTTGAGACTTCAGGCTGCTAAGAAAACAGCAGGTGCTAGGGTTCATTGAAAAAGAAAGGCTGGGAAAGGCAATGAGTGCCATCTCCAATGTATGTCTCAGAAAATCGCCATCATCCAGCACGGTGGTCCTGTCTGCTTCCTTTCAACTCTGTAGGCAGGCTGCATGAGAATCAAGAGGGTTTTCTATAGATAAATTTCTGGGCTACCCTCCAATATTCTAAAAGTAAAAGTACAGCATAACCTGTAATTTTATGAATGCATTCCTTGACACTTTCATGCATGTAGTACGATACCAATACCATCTGGCCACACTCATTCCTCTACACTCTTACCCCTTCCCACATCAACCAACCTTCATCCCTTCCTTCACCAATGTTTTCAAATTCCCTGACACTCCAGATGTTGTTCCCAAAGTTCTCATAAATGCATTCACACCCCTAGGGTCTCTCTGGCATACAGATAACTGTTATGAAAAGCTGAAGGTCACCCACTGATCACGCCAAGAGTTGAATCCCTCCTCCTTCCCCATCAACAAGATGCAACTGACTACAGACACATAGCTTAGTCCCACAGTAACCAAGCCTGCTGCCTCAAATTGTATCTTCATTCCCCTCCCTAAGAAACCTTTAGCATTGATTCCCTGCTTTGTCTGGCAGGACCAAAGCCTATCTTCAGATCCCCCACTTTCATCTGCAGTGTTAATAAACCTGTTACTCTGAAGGAAAATTCATCTCAGTGACTTTCTCTGTTCCCTCTCTTCTCCATCCATATAACCCAAGACGTAGTAGATTGCAAGTTAAGTTAATTTTGTAAACACTGTTCCACATCAAAAAAAAGCATTATCATAATACTATATATCAGCCTGGAATAACATAAAGATTTAAGTATATATGAAAATTGTAAGAATGACATTGAAATAGATGAGAGTAACTAACTCTATGCCTTGATTTTCTTCACTAAGAATAAGAATGAAGCTCCTGAAAGATGTTTAGAAATAAATGTTTATGCTTCTCATAAGATGTATGTAATTTGCCTAACATATTCTAGCCTAGAAAATGAGATACATGGATTCAACAGTTTTAGCTCTGAGAGAAGGATAAGAAAAAGACTGCTTAACATTTGAAGTGCATTAATTAGAAACATAAACGCGCGGTAGGGCTGCTTAATGTGAAAAATCTCAAGCACAAGTCCCAAGCTACCAGAAATGTCATCTATTTTTATCTTATGCTAACAAAGGTTTTGTTCTCTAGGAATAACGATTGTAGGATGCCTGCTTCATGGGAGGTGTTCAATGAGTGGTATTCAAATAAGTTGACTGACTACAAATAGAACATGGGCACTCCAGTACCTGCAAAGGACTGCAAAAAGATTGCATAGGGAATCAGTATTGGCACTAGCTTGGTTGCGTTCCTGTGATGGTGACAAAATATTCTGAGAAGAGCCACTTCAAGACAAAGAGGGTAATCCTGGCTCCCCATTCAAAAGTATAGTCTCGAGTGCCAAGGCAGTCAAGCCAGCAGAAACTTGAAGCAGCCGGCACCTTGCATTCACAATCAGGAAGCAGGCAGCAATGAATGCACCCTGCTGATCACCATCCCTTTTCCACTTGTATAGTCCAGCATTCCAAGTCGAGAAGGGCACCAGCCCAATAGATAGGTCTTCCCATCTCAGTACAATCCAAGCTCCCAGGCCCGCCTCCCAGGTAAATTTAGATCTTTTCAAGTTGACCACACTAACGATGACAGGCCCTGTACTTGACCCTCCATCTCAATGGCTGAGTCAAGGCAATTTTGTTATCTAACCAGAATAGTACTAAAACCTAGGGTAAACACAGCTGCACAGATTGTTGAAGAACTGCACATGCAAGGGACTGTCTGAGAGCTTCCAAAGACTAACAGCTAAGATGGCGTCATGCTGACCCAGGAGCCAGATGACTGCTTTAATCCTGATTGCAAACACACACACACACACACACACACACACACACACACACACACAAAATGATGTTTTGCACATGTGGTCAAATTTGACCTAAGGCTTTCTTGAATTGTACTAGATCAGTATGCTTGTGACATAAGTGACTAACATTGGCCATCTACTTCCAAGGACTGAAGGTTATCAATATCTACCAAGAATCTAATAACAGTGGATGGTTAAATCAATTCTTGTCACTTTGCAACAAAAGTCATTTTCTCAGGGAAGTCTGGCATAATGATTTTCACCTAGTATTTTATAATTTATTTATTTTTTGACAGGCTCTCTCCCACACACATGCTGTAGATCTTGACCACATCCTCCTCCCACATTCTTCCCCATTTATTTATTATAAAAAGAATTAAGTCTCCACTAGGTTGCTTTAATAAATAGGGGTGGTTGAATTCACTGAACAGGAGCCTATGACATATTTCAAACCATGTCAAAACATACATTCTGTCTTGTGTGGTTCTTCACCATTTGGAAAAGGGCTCTGAATTCAGATAGGAATTAGAATGAAAGCCAACAGCAAAAATATAATGCTAGAGGCCACTTGTCCTTAGGAATGGAATCCATCAATAGTTAAATTGAATTGTCAGTACTTTAATAACTTACCAATGGATAGATTTTTTTTCTTAGTAAGACTACAATGTCCTAAATAGCAGACATTAAAATTCCATTCCTCTATTGTTAGTGGAGTAAAACACTCACTTAAACATTAAAACATATTATAATATTAACTTGCCAAATACTGTATTAAAAGGAAAAACCTTTTTCAAAATATTATTTCTGTCTAGAGGAAAGACAAGTTCTCTGGAGCATATTATGAGAAAAGTTCAGGTGGTCAAATTAATAATTGATAGAAGCAGTATCAATCTAGGAATTGTGTGACCATTGAACATGCATTATCATAGAGCATCCCTTGAAACAGTTTTACCACTTCTGCCTATCTCCATCATAGACATCTCACTATGAAAGCCACTGTGAATATAAAGGACTTTTTTCCATTCTTTTCTCCATTAATAGTAAATGAATGCATTGACTGACGGGTGGCGAGATGTCTATCAGGTGGTGAAGGCATGTGCTGCACATGTCTAGTAAACCTGGGCTTGATCCCTAGAACACATGTTAAGATACAAGGAGAGAACTGACTCCACAAAGTGGTCCTCTGAATTCCACATGGTCTCTCTCTCTCTCTCTCTCTCTCTCTCTCTCTCTCTCTCTCTCTCGAAAACACACTTTTTTCTTACTTGACTTGGATAAGTCTGTCTGTTAAAATCAAACTGTTAGTTTGGGTGATTTAGGATCTTTTCTTGTTCTAAAGTAATGTTCATTTACAATAAAGAAAAGAGGTTTAATAGGCAAATGGTTCAGAAGAATAATGTTAAGAAAAAAACAATGTTTAGACATTCAAGTGATTCATTTTAAACATCAGAGAGGTCTTGCTTATGATTTCAAAATTAACACAACTACATTTCAAAAGTTCTAGGTGAAAAGCTATTTTAGTATGTCTAAATTTTTCCTGGTGTCAACGGTGAGGGTTTAATTGTTGTTGATGTTATGGCACTTGGGTCTGTGCCAAGAATCCAGACATCATTCTTGGGCAGGTATTCATTTCTGACAACTCAAACGCCATATCTTTAAAACCAACTCTACGAGCCTGCAGAAAATCACTCTTCATCCCTAACTCTTCTATTAAGAAATAGAAATTATAATTACATAGATTAGGAGGTAATTGGGCTAAGAAAACTACTGATCAATTATTTTTCTTTAAAAATTACAAAAATGGTATTGTCAGTTGTGGTGATTAGCTTGTGAAAAGATGTACTAGGTTTGCCTATATAACTTTGATTAAAATCTCAAATTTTAAATTGAAATGTGCATTGGAACTAAACCAAAATAGGTGTTTGAATAAACACGTGAGGCTTTGACCTTCAGGAGAACAGAGGTTGTATAAAGACATTTTCAAAAACAAGTCTTGTGATTTTCCCAGCCTGGCTGGGGGCTGCATTCTCACGTGCACACTGGTTTGCTCATCATTTAGTGGTACCTAACAAAGCCAGTCAGTGTCAACAAATGCACAGTTACTGCTCCTGAGACAAAGATTCCCCATTTTCTTTTTAAAAATTTTATGCAGCGGTAAATAATTGGCCAAGCACTTGTACCTGCTAAGTTGTGAGCAATTCATAGAGCTAGCGAAGTCATAGAGTCTGTCGCTTTTATAAAGGCAGCAGCTAATAAAATTAAAATCGTGTTCATTTTGTTCCTCACTATTCCTTCATTGGTAGAAGATGAAGAAAGCACGTGCAACCAATCAGTTCCCGAACTCCATTTGGCTGCATTTTATTCCAAAGTCAAGGCTGATATTTAACAACACGTAAGTGAGAAATTTTCAAGTGTGACTACCCCCACTATAGATGTAAATAACATCCACATTTGGCACAGCTCCATTGAAGTAAACAACATTAAAAGTACTGGCAGTCATTTTCTTTTACAACGTCTGGGAGGAAAATACTGAAGTCACTTCTCCCCGAGCTTTTCTGCTTGATTGTAATGCACCTGTTTTAGAGCTCTTTCCTAAATTATAAGACCTGTTTAAGATAAACTATAGAAAGAAATGTATTCTACTCAAGCACACACACACACACTCACACACACACACACACATTCACACACACAGGCACTAGACTTTGAAACTTTGCGTTTGTTCTTACTTTAGATGTAATATCTAATTATATTAAAGTGTAACTTCACATTGACCAAAAGTCTAAAGTCTCAAATATTAGCAAATGGAAAACAAAAACTGTTCCAAAGTTTGCATAGGAAAAAAAGATCAAACATCACTCAGAGAAAAAAATATGCTTTTTAAGAATGTAGCCTGAAGTAGAACTTTGCACACAAATAAATAAACCAATAAGTCTTGAAACTGCATTGGTGTGAAAATTCTATCTCACAGTCATATGTTGCTCAACTATATACAAGTCTAGCAGGGAAAATTAATATTTATTTCATAATTACTGATTTTAAGTTTCTCCATTTTTAGGCCCTGTGACTCTACATTGCTTGGCTCTGAAGCACAGCTCCACATCTGAAAATTTAACAGTGCACACAAATATGTGAAAACTCTATTCCAAAATTTAAATAAGGGACCTTATTAAGTCTTTATAAATATAAGCTCATTTAGAAAAATACTAGTTTTCTTTGGCTGATTTTTTTAGTGTGACGTCCATATGTCATTTAACCCCACATGCTTTCATTTCTCTTGACTCACTGCAAGCAAGTGTATCAGTGTTAAAAATTCATATAAAAATTTCAAAAAAAATCGGCATAAATACATACAATTTGTAAAATATGAATAGATGTAACTAGAATATCACTCTATAATTTTCAAATTTTCTCTGCTTTCACTGCAATGGCCCTGATTCATTCAATTTAGGTAGAAAAACGTTAAGCTCAATTAGCCATAAAATAAAATGTATGTGGGTACTCAAATAGGCAGGATTTTGCCATCTGAATTCTCATGCAAACATTAAAGCCACAAAAAAAATATGTCAGTATATGGAATAATTTGCTAAATATCATCATTCAATATAGTTGTTCAACCAGTTTTAGAGTGAATTCTTCCTTGTCAAATTCCTCAAATTGTAACAAATGAGTAATAATGTATTGAAAGACAAGACAAATATGGAGCCATTTCTTATCTGCAATGCATGTTTCTCAGAAATCAAACCTGAATGGGCAGTTGCCATTAGTGTATGGTTATGAGGTATTCTTGAATCGATGATTTTTTTATGTGGTGCCAATCACGTTAAGATTTCTCATTTAAACTCTTTTGGGTACAGAACAAGAATTAATTTCACTATAAATTTAGCTCTTGAAGAGGCCATATAAGCAGATAATTGATCCTAAAAATGATTATCATATTATTAATAACTATTACCTCACAAATGACTTCCAAGAATTAAATAACAACAAAAAAAGAATTAAATAACAAAAACATAAGAATAAACTAAATTATTAATAATATTAATATGTGTGCACATATATGCAATGGGTACTATAGTTGTATGTAGAAAAGCACATAAAAGCATTCGTTAATAACTTCACTATATTTATATATGAAGCGTTATTTAATATATTTCATTTTATATATATTTACATATTTATGTGGAGAGATGTGTATATAAAATATATCTATTGAATATGCTTACATGCCTAAATCTACATTCACACCCCAGTTTCCATCCCACAGTAAGCCTTTAATACATCACTACTTTTAACACCTTGTAATAACCCAAGTGTCTCTCCCTCACACTCTCTCAGTGCCGTTTTATATTACCTCTTTTCATCCATAACCTGCTCTACTATTATATCCTTGTCTTCTGAAACAGACTGGTTGTACATGCTTCGTTAGGTTTCAGTTTGCTTTTGCTTTTTGTTTTATAAGGCCCTCTTCTACTCAGGTCGACCATGTTGGTGTCCTTGGCAACTCATAGGGTACAAAGTCTAATGCAGTCCCTGAAACAAAAGCCCTCCCTTCCCCCCTCCATCCTTGCCCTGCAAATCTGTGACACCAGGCCTGTCAGCTTTGACCCTTCTTGAGTCTCTGATCTACATTTCTGGCTGTCTAAGGGTTATTTGTACCACTGTTTTACAAAGGCTTCAAGACCATTGGGCTGCAATAAATACATTAGTGTTGGCCTCCATCCATCACCCACACTGCTAGTTCAGAAACTCTAAGTCTTCCTTGCTGGCTGTCTACCAGGAGCTCAGAAACCGAGACGATTTGAAAGGACCACAAAACTCAGTTTTGATACTCCTCTTAGCTCCGTCTCGTCTCTTTCATATCCACCCAGTCTACCTCCACCAGAATGGATGCTTGCCTTAAACATTCCAGATATTTATGGATATTTTTCCCTCTAGTGTTCAAGTTAATTCCAACGAACGCGTCTTAATTTTGTGATGAGAAAAGAGAGCTTGCTAGCGGCAGCATGGCTATGCCAAAGGCTGCAGCAACAGGTACCTATTTCCTCACCGCTGTAGGGCTGCAAGTCCGCGATATGTTTATGACTTTAGATCCTGGAAAGGAAACTCTTCCTGGCTTGATTACTGCTACCTTCTCCTGCTAATTTTATGTGATCTTAATGCATGCATGTAAACACAGAGACAGACACTGACAGACAGGCAGAAAACATGAATGATGTCTGGTGCCTGTTTCTTATGACGATACTACATCACCAGATCTGTGCCCCACCATTACGACCTCAGTGGAGCCTAAATAGGAACTCAACATCTTTTGAATAACTAAAGAGCCATTTAAAACATGATCACAAATAACCCAGTTATCCAGAATTCCCTGATTGGACCAGATTTGGAATTTTATAATTGGGTATCTTTCTATTAAGCAATTGTCTCTCGTTCTAAAAGTTCCTTTTTGCTTAGTCATCTTCTCTTTAGGCTATGAATTCAGAAACATCATAATCACTTCTTTGTGAGTGCCCTCTGATTCTCTATCACTCACCAGGGTTCCAAGAGTTGTTCTGTCCTATACAGCACTTTTCGCACCATGTTAAGAAAAAAATTAAAAATACATGTCTCTTTTTTTCAGGCCACAGAGTCCTTTAGGGCAACACCACTTCATGTATTTTTTAGAAGAAACCAAGGAAGAAGTGAAGAGACATAATTTTAAGAAATAATTTCTATGGTTTCAACATATGTCTTCAAGAACAAGCATGATTATAATAGTTATACTATTCAAAACACGGTACTTAAATTTACTTTTACTTCCTGGAGTAAAAAAACATTTTCTGAACACTTAACAATTGCTGTAAGACACACTTTGCACGTTATGTTTATGGACTTAGTCCAAATTATGCTTTAGCTTCTGCAAATGTGTGTGTGGTTTCATCAACATTATCTTCCTTGATCAAGAGTAAAAAGAAGTGTCTTCTGCTATCTGAATTGTGTGAAGAAAACTCTTCATATTTTTAGCTGAGCCTTGCTTTTTTAGGTCAGTATCTCCAGAAATGCTCTGCTCTGCTAAAGGACTGCTAGGGTTTTCCACCACTTCTAGCCCCATCGTTCCCTCCTTCTCACATCATGGACCCTTTATTTTCTCCAAAATATGCTAATACACAAATCCCCTAAAATATTACTGGATGATAATAAGTCATCACTTGGAAAAACGACAGCTTTTGTAAATTCTGTGAGTCTAGAAAATCCTCAAATTTGAGTCTTTAGAATCCTCCTGCCCACATCAAAAAAGAAAAGGAAGAAAATTTTATGACTTTGGGTTAGTCAACATGATAGCAAAAGCATGAGCTGTAAAAGGGGGAAAAGTTTTTTATAAGTTGGACTTAATTAAAGGCTAAAACCTTTTTCTTCAAGGAAGACATTTAGAAATGAATAGGTGGATCTTAAAGAGATAATATCTGCACATTTGGAAAAACTTTGCAAATCAACTACCTAGAATATGTAAAATATTTATATAATTTATATTTATATAATTCAACATTATAGAAACACAATTAAGTAAAGGATTGGTAAATAATATGAAGACATGTTTTATTGAAGAAGGAAAAACATGCTGTTAATCAACGCAAGATAAAGTGTCCACCATTATCATTATTAAGAAATTCAGATTAAAACTACAAGGAGATGTAATTAAAAGGTAACACTAAGCTTCAGTGAAGATGTGGTAAAATTGGTTCTTCATGCATAATGAATGGATTATCCAAAATATCTCTGAATATGAAGCAATCTAAGAGTCTGTTTTGGGCCTCAAACAAAGAAAATGTGATGCATTCCATACAATAAAATACTAATAGGAGCAGAAGGAAACAAAATATTAAGTTTTATGACATGAATGAACCACAAAAGCATGATACTAAGTGAAAGATACTGGGAGCCAAAGAAGAGGTGATGCATGACTCATATATGAACTGTTTATGGAAGGCAAATATTCAGACAAAAAGCCTATCAATGGCTGTTTCAGACTGGAGTAGAGAGTGGGGGTTGCTGAGAAAACCACTCAAGCTAGCTCTGTGATGCTATGGAAATGGTCTTAACTAGGTAGTGATGGTACAATATTATCTATCATTTTGCAAGAAACCACTGACTTGTATGCTCAAGAACAGGTTCTATAGGATGTAAACTATACCTCAATAAAGACTCCAGAAAAATAGAATGGAAAGAGGCCCCTGAAGTTAAAAGCCTGGATGCGTGAAGGAGATGGATATTTTGGTAAAACCTCAAGAGCAGAATATGGAAGACAAAGGATATGGGAAACTTGTATGTTTAGCAAGCTTCAAAGACAAGTGGTTTAGCCAAACGGATGTGTGATATAGGAGTTTTGCAAGACATGAAGAGAATTCTAGCAAAGCATTAATGAGACTAGCCTGCACACTGGTGTAACAGTGAGAAAGACACAGGCATAGATGGGGGAAGGACCGGTAAACCAGAAACTTAAATAATGGGGCAGGGAGACAATGCAGAGCTTCATTGTTCACTCAAGCTTCTATTTTGAGATAAATAAATTGGAATGCCATAGAAGGGTGTTTACAGAGGATTGAAATGTTCTATTTCACATATCAGACACATGATTCAGGATACAGGATGAAAGGCAGACTTCAAGCTTCCCAGGATGTAATCAGGAAAACAAGTTGGGTAAAAAAAATTGATAATCATGGCAATAAATTTTGATGGCTTAAATTGAGGCAATAATTCAAAGTAGTACAAAGGGGTAAGATTCTAGGTAAAGCAAGAGGAAAGAAATGTCAGCATCAACATTTCTCCTTCTTAAAGTTCATTTACACTTTTGTGAAAATTAGACGAGAGTACATCAAAATATTAACAGTACTTTTGTTTGTAGTGTTATGAATAGTATATGTCTCCACAATTACCAAAGTGCCAAGCTTATGAATATAATTTTATGAAGTGAAAAATAATTCTTAAAAAAATTAAGATTATAATGCACTGAGTATTTGCCAAAATTTTAATCGCCACCAAAAAAAAAAACAAAATGATGGCATATATAAAATAAACTGTGGCAATGTTAGTAAGAAAGAATAGTCACAGAAGCCACAGAAAGTATTTCCTAAATGCTAAGTGGTGAACTCACTTTGCTATGAACAGGTGGGAACAGCTTTA